CGGGCGCCGCCTTTCCGAGGCCGCCCACTCGCCGGCCTCCGGCACGGAATCCGCCTTTGCGCCCGCGAAGCCCGTTTCTCTCGCGCCTCGCTCCACACTCCTGCCGTGGCCAACTCTCGCCTCCGGAGTCACCCTCGCGGCTGGCTCAGGCCTGGAACGCCCCACCCAGGGCTTCCCGTGGCTGCCACTTGGGTTTCCGTCGGACGCCACCGTTACGAGGCCCTTCTGGGCGCCTCGTCTGAAGGTCCTTCGTTTCTCAGTCACGCCTTCATCAGTCCCACCCCTCTCAAGCTCGGTGCATCTTCCAGGAAGCCTTGTCTGCCGTCCCCATCCCGGGTCGTGCCTGCATGTGCAAAACTCCTGGGGCTACACTGCCTACGTTTCTATTTTTCTAATAGCATATGTCTCTCTAAAAATCGCTTGTTTTCTTGCCAATTGTCTCTGCCCAATAGACTAAGCTGAGGGAGGGCAGAGACTTGATCTGTCACTTTTATGTCCCATTGGCTAGAAGAGTGGCGCTTGGAAGGTGTCTGCTCGGTAAAGAATACCCAAGTGAATAAATATGTGTCACCTTCTCAGGTTTGATGATCTCCAGTCTTACTCGGAGCTCCCTCCAAGTCAAATCCTCACACAGCGCCCCATTCTTGTCCCTGTGGCTTTTCATGTCGTTTGTCACAAGCAAGTCACTGGTTTACTTGCTTATGTCTCCCCCTTGAACTCTAAAGCCCCGTAAAGGTGTGTGCCCTTGTGTGTTTGTTCTCCGCTGTGCCTCCACCTAGAACAGCACAAAGGAGGCTTTCCATAAATGTTTGAGGAAGAACAAATGAGTCCATCCCCTAAAGCCCCTGGAGGGGGGTTTGCTTGCACATCAGTGACTCACAGGCAGGCACCTTCACCTGCACAGCCGGTTGACACGCAGCTGTGACCAAGATGTGAGGGGTGTGGGGGCTTGCGCCAGGAAGGAGTCACCATCCCAGAGAGAGGAGTAGGTGCAAGAAAAGGCAGAATGACATAATCTCTTTCTTCCCCAAATCTTCATGGGAACTCAGTTGGCCAAGCATCTGCCATGGAACCAGGGGAGGGCGAGGCTCTCCTGCTTGGATGGCCTGGGAGAAGTGGAACTGAAAATAAATCGGATGTACAGATGAGGAGATTTCAATGAACCAAGACCAAAACATAGATGATTAATTAAACAAAGGGAGATAAATTTTGATGTATAATCAAGCGGGGGGCGGGGGTGTGGAATCCAACATTGCACCAACAAAACCAGAATTAAAAAGGGACCGGCCGGGCTCGGTGGCTCAGCCCGTAATCCCGTGCCTCGGGAGGCTGAGGTG